GGTTTGCATAAATTTATTTTGAAAACGGCATATTTATTTTTATATATATAAATAACGTTTGCGTCACGCGCAACGATGGCAGTTTGCCAGGACTAGTCCATCTATTTTTTTGAAAAGAGGAGGGGGGAGACGAAATTTGTTTTTATGTATGCTGTCTGAAAGGCACTGTAAGCGTGAACAATCAATCAAGAACTGAAATGATTTATCAAATCTTTCCAATGATTGCTAAGATAGAATCCATCTTCTCGGTTGAAATTGTCTCTGTGTTTGTATATGTGGATAGCCTCATGAACGAATCTCTCATGGAAGCCAGATGGCTTACAAAGAACCTCCGTCTTGGAAAAGTCAATGGCATGTGAGCCTACTGAATTAGAACAATGATCTGCTACGGCCGAGGTGTTGGTCCTACCGTGTTTAAGGTCTGCTTTATGTTCACGAATGCGGTCCGAGATATGGCGTTTGGTTTCTCCAATGTAACTACTACCACAGAGGCAACTTAGTTTGTAGACACCAGGGTATTGTATGTCCGGAATCACATCTTTTACAGACGGAACCAGATCACAGATTTTATGTAATGTGTTGAAACGGACCTGGATCTTGTGTTTATTCAAGATTTTGGAGATCTTTTTTGTGATCCCAGCAATGTAGGGTAAAGTGATGGTTTTGAAAGGCTCCTCAAGAGGGTTCTTCTTCATGGTTTGAGTGATAGCTTTGCGGATTGTATAGTCGGAGTAACCATTAGCCCTAAGAGCTTGGTGTACGTGCTTGAGTTCACTGCTTATGTGTTCCTGGTCGGATATGCATTGGGCTCTATGATACAGAGTCTTGATGAGAGAATTCTTCTGTGATGGATGGTGGTGGGAATCCGGTTTCAGATAAGCATCCGTATGGGTAGCTTTCCTGTAGACAGAGTGGCTCATTGAACCATCAGGTCTCTTTTTAATTAGGACATCCAAAAAAGGTATCTTGCCATCTATTTCGACTTCCATGCTAAGATGCCAGCTAGCAACCTCAGCAAAGATGAGCGTTTTGAATTATATAAATTAAAAAAGAGGAATGATATTGTAGTTCTCTCAGCTGACAAAGGCAATGCTACTGTTATCATGGATAAAATAGAATACAACAACAAAATTAAAGAATTACTCGACGATGGTAGTTATACAAAAATAAAAAGAGATCCCACCAACAGCCTCGTCACACAAACCAACAAAATAATTTCTGATTCAACCGCATTAATTGATCAATCTAAACAGTTTTTGTTGAAACCTTCTGCTGCCAGGCCACCAAGATTATACGGCTTACCAAAAATACATAAAGTTGATACACCTCTTCGTCCCATAGTCTCTACTATCAGCTCCCCCACCTACAAACTAGCTCGTTTTTTGTCTGAAATCCTGCGTCCTTTCACTGGAAAGACCACCTCTGCGGTACAAAATTCTACTCACCTGGTATCAACAATCAAGGGTATTTCCCTGTCCCCAGACGACCTGCTTGTCAGTTTTGATGTAGTTTCCTTATTCACCAAGGTTCCTGTACCTGACACCATTGCAATCATTGAAGACTTGGTTCATCAAGGACTAAACACTGAGGTACCCCCCCTGGTGAGACACTGTTTAACCAATACATACTTCACTTGGAATGGAACTTTCTACAAACAAACTGAGGGCACCCCAATGGGCTCCCCCCTTTCTCCAGTTATAGCTAACATTTTCATGGAGAAATTTGAGACTGACGCCATCCAGACTGCCACTCTGCGCCCAACCTTATGGAAGAGGTACGTGGATGACACTTTTGTCATCTGGCCAGATGGCCGGCCTGCTCTAGACAAATTCTTCGACCACATCAATTCCATACACCCAGCCATCAGATTTACCATGGAAGTCGAAATAGATGGCAAGATACCTTTTTTGGATGTCCTAATTAAAAAGAGACCTGATGGTTCAATGAGCCACTCTGTCTACAGGAAAGCTACCCATACGGATGCTTATCTGAAACCGGATTCCCACCACCATCCATCACAGAAGAATTCTCTCATCAAGACTCTGTATCATAGAGCCCAATGCATATCCGACCAGGAACACATAAGCAGTGAACTCAAGCACGTACACCAAGCTCTTAGGGCTAATGGTTACTCCGACTATACAATCCGCAAAGCTATCACTCAAACCATGAAGAAGAACCCTCTTGAGGAGCCTTTCAAAACCATCACTTTACCCTACATTGCTGGGATCACAAAAAAGATCTCCAAAATCTTGAATAAACACAAGATCCAGGTCCGTTTCAACACATTACATAAAATCCGTGATCTGGTTCCGTCTGTAAAAGATGTGATTCCGGACATACAATACCCTGGTGTCTACAAACTAAGTTGCCTCTGTGGTAGTAGTTACATTGGAGAAACCAAACGCCATATCTCGGACCGCATTCGTGAACATAAAGCAGACCTTAAACACGGTAGGACCAACACCTCGGCCGTAGCAGATCATTGTTCTAATTCAGTAGGCTCACATGCCATTGACTTTTCCAAGACGGAGGTTCTTTGTAAGCCATCTGGCTTCCATGAGAGATTCGTTCATGAGGCTATCCACATATACAAACACAGAGACAATTTCAACCGAGAAGATGGATTCTATCTTAGCAATCATTGGAAAGATTTGATAAATCATTTCAGTTCTTGATTGATTGTTCACGCTTACAGTGCCTTTCAGACAGCATACATAAAAACAAATTTCGTCTCCCCCCTCCTCTTTTCAAAAAAATAGATGGACTAGTCCTGGCAAACTGCCATCGTTGCGCGTGACGCAAACGTTATTTTTATATATATAAATAAATATGCCGTTTTCAAAATAAATTTATGCAAACCGACACACCTGATGATGACCGTTTGAGTTATGGTCGAAACGTCGTGAGAATTTTTTATTGTTTTATATATATTTTGTTGTTTCTCTTCAACGTGACTTTACCGAAAAAACTAAGAATATGAATATAGAATTGTTACATCAACACTAATTATACTCCTACAACATCAGAGTGCAGCACCACATTAAATACGCACTACAATAGTTTGAAGCACGTTTTATTTTCAAAATGGAAATATGGTTTTGGGGGGGGGGGCGTGGGGGGCAGAGCTTTGTGACGTCATATTTGAGGGGGGGGGGCGTCAAAATTGTCCAAAATCGCGTGACGTCATTTATGGACGCCCCCTTATCTACGTTTGGCTCCTTTACGGTGTGCGAAAGGAGCTCAACACGCACGCACACACAAAAACCCTGTCACCCTGTGTTGCGTTTTATTTTTCGTCGCGCAGCAGATTCCAGTGCTGTTGTTGCAGAAGTAGCATCAGCAGCTGGTTCACCTGCTTGTGGCTTGCAGGAGGGGGTGGCACTCCGCCAGCTCGTCCACCTGGACGGGCCGGTGAGTCCCGGCCTCGATCGCCCGCTCGCGCACTCACTCACCCCTCTGAGCATTCGCCCACTCACTCACCCGCTTGCCCGCTCACTCGCGCGCCGCTCTCGGCGCTCGCGAATTTGCTCGCTCGCTCGCTCGCCCACTCATTCCTCCAAGCACTCGCTCACCCACTCGATCACACATTCACTCATCCCTCCAAGCACTACCTCACTCACTCACCCACTCGCTCGCCCACTCATTCCTCCAAGCACTCGCTCACTCACCTACTCGATCACACATCCACTCATCCCTCCAAGCACTACCTCACTCACTCACCCACTCGCTCACTCGCTCACCCCTCCGAGCGCTCACCCACTCAGCACCCGCCAGCTCGCCCGTTTGCTCACTCACCCCTTCAGGCACTTGCTCACTCGCGTATCCACTCACTCATTCACCCGTACACTCATTCATTCACTCACCCACTCGCTCGCTCATCCATCCACTCACTCATTCACCCGTACACTCATTCATTCACTCACCCACTCATTCATCCCTACACTCATTCATCCCTACACTCACTCATTCATACATACACTCATTCACTCATTCATACATACACTCATTCACTCACTCATCCATACACTCATTCACTCACTCATCCACTCATCTACTCATGCTGCTGCTATTGCTGCTACTGTTGATGATGATACATTTATACTGTTGCTGCTGATTACGATGCTGATGACGATGATGATGTTGACAACACAGATGATGCTACTTTTGATGAAGCTACTCTGCTACTGTTGGCAATGCTGTTGATGTCCATGCTGCTGACGACGATGCTGCTGATGACAACGCTGATGAAGCTGCTGGTGACGATGATGATGCTAGTCGGTTGCTGCTGCTGATGATGATGATGCTAGTCTGCTGCTGATGCTGTTGATGGCGATGCTATTCTGCTGCTGATGATGAAACAGGTATGTACGGAGTTGGTGCAACGTCGAGTTCAACGCGAGGAGCAGGCTGAGAAAATCAGCAGCATCAGCAGCAGGTCAGCGCCAGCCTGCGCAAGGGCGCCAACCGGAGACACAGCCAGCGGCAGCAGGGTGGCAAGGTGAGGGCGGAGAGGGCAGGGTGACGTCACCGCCACTTAGTGGCACATGGCGGTTGTTGTTGTTGTGTCTGTGTGTATTGGTATCTGTGCACGTGTGTGTGTATCTCTGTATCTGTGTGTGTGTATCTGTGTTTTTGTGTGTGTGTGTATCTGCGTGTGATTGTGTGTGTGTGTGTATCCCAGCGACAGGAGACCATGGGTGAAGATGATCTGGGTCTCAGCGGGGCCTCTGCAGAGGACGTGGAAGGAGAGCTGATCCGGCACGTGTGTGAGACCGAGCTTCTGGCAGGTATGGACTCTACCCACCATCACCACCCGTGTCTCACCACCCGTGTCTCACCCCCCCCGTGTCTCACCCCCCCCGTGTCTCACCCCCCCCGTGTCTCACCCCCCCCGTGTCTCACCCCCCCCGTGTCTCACCCCCCCCGTGTCTCACCCCCCCCGTGTCTCACCCCCCCCGTGTCTCACCCCCCCCGTGTCTCACCCCCCCGTGTCTCACCCCCCCGTGTCTCACCCCCCCCGTGTCTCACCCCCCCGTGTCTCACCCCCCCGTGTCTCACCCCCCCGTGTCTCACCCCCCCGTGTCTCACCCCCCCGTGTCTCACCCCCCCGTGTCTCACCCCCCCGTGTCTCACCCCCCCGTGTGTCACCCCCCCGTGTGTCACCCCCCCGTGTCTCACCCCCGCGTGTCTCACCCCCGCGTGTCTCACCCCCCCCCCCCCCCCGTGTCTCTGTGGGTCTCTGTGGGTCTCTATGGGTCTGTTTTAGCTAAAAGTTAGCATGAACTTGATTGCGGCTAGTACATTGTTAATTAGTTCATAGTTTTCAGTAGTTTTCCGGAAGTTATTATTCTCTTAGTTCATAGTTGGCAGTAGTTTTACGGCAGTTATAGATTTATTAGTTTATATTTAGTAGCAACGTCAGATTTTTTTTTTGCGTATTTCCCAGCGCGGCCGCCGTGGAAGGCCCCTCCGGCTCTCCTCAAGGCCATCGCCAGCATCTTGACGGCCACGAGCGAGCGTTGGTTTTGTGATGGAGGCACGGCAGCACCAGGCCCTGGCCTCCCTCGCCGATCTTCTTCCGCACCTCATAGCGGTAGTGGAGCTGTTCCTGGCGGATCGAGGGAGGCGGAGGCCGGTGGTCAGTCATGGCAATCGGAACGTTTAACGCTCGGTGGCAGCAGCAGTCGGGGACTTCTGCGACCGGCATTATCCACAACGGAGGTTTTTTTTTTAGTTTGGGGTTAGATCGCGTAAATATATAAACGTGTCGTTAAACTACTGAACGCTGTGAAACTTGGGGGGCTGTTTGCCTTTTGGCGTTCTCTCGTCTAACACTGGGTAGTGAGACACTGGGTAGTGAGACACTGGGTAGTGAGACACTGGGTAGTGAGACACTGGGTAGTGAGAACCTGGGTAGTGAGACACTGGGTAGTGAGACACTGGGTAGTGAGACACTGGGTAATGAGACACTGGGTAGTGAGACACTGGGTGGTGAGACGCCGGGTGGTGAGATGCTGGGTAATGAGACACTGGATAGCGAGACACTGGGTGGTGAGACACTGGGTGGTGAGACACTGGGTAGTGAGACACTGGTAGTGAGACACTGGGTGGCGAGACACTGGGTGGCGAGACACTGGGTAGTGAGACACTGGGTGATGAGACACTGGGTAGTGAGACACTGGGTGGTGAGACACTGGGTGGCGAGACGCTGGGTAGTGAGACGCTGGGGTAGTGAGACGCTGGAGTAGTGAGACGCTGGGGTAGTGAGACGCTGGGGTAGCGAGACGCTGGGGTAGCGAGACGCTGGGGTAGCGAGACGCTGGGGTAGCGAGACGCTGGGTGGCGAGACGCTGGGGTAGTGAGACGCTGGGGTAGTGAGACGCTGGGGTAGTGAGACGCTGGGGTAGTGAGACGCTGGAGTAGTGAGACGCTGGGGTAGTGAGACGCTGGGGTAGTGAGACGCCGGGGTATCGAGACGCTGGGGTATCGAGACGCTGGGGTAGCGAGACGCTGGGGTAGCGAGACGCTGGGGTAGCGAGACGCTGGGGTAGTGAGACGCTGGGTGGCGAGACGCTGGGTGGCGAGACGCTGGGGTAGTGAGACGCTGGGGTAGTGAGACGCTGGGGTAGTGAGACGCTGGGTAGTGAGACGCTGGGGTAGCGAGACGCTGGGGTAGTGAGACGCTGGGGTAGTGAGACGCTGGGGTAGTGAGACGCTGGGGTAGTGAGACGCTGGGGCAGTGAGACGCTGGGGCAGTGAGACGCTGGGGCAGTGAGACGCTGGGGCAGTGAGACGCTGGGGCAGTGAGACGCTGGGGCAGTGAGACGCTGGGGTAGTGAGACGCTGGGGTAGTGAGACGCTGGGGTAGTGAGACGCTGGGTAGTGAGACGCTGGGTAGTGAGACGCTGGGGTAGTGAGACGCTGGGTAGTGAGACGCTGGGGTAGTGAGACGCTGGGGCAGTGAGACGCTGGGGTAGTGAGACGCTGGGTAGTGAGACGCTGGGGCAGTGAGACGCTGGGGCAGTGAGACGCTGGGGCAGTGAGACGCTGGGTAGTGAGACGCTGGGTAGTGAGACGCTGGGTAGTGAGACGCTGGGTAGTGAGACGCTGGGTAGTGAGACGCTGGGTAGTGAGACGCTGGGTAGTGAGACGCTGGGTAGTGAGACGCTGGGTAGTGAGACGCTGGGTAGTGAGACGCGGCCCTAAAGAAGGCTGTTGTCTCTGGTGTAGACCAATCAGTTTCAAAGACAATGCCACATTATCAGAGCGTGTTTTTGTTTGCATGTTCACCACAAGTGCCGTGTGTGGTTAATGCAGACATGATTGATAATTGTTTTTTTTACCCTTTTATCTGGCAACAAACTGACAGCTTTTTTTTTTACAAGGAGCCATGTTTGTATTGCCCACAATACCTGCGGTTGGAATGCAAACGAAAACACGACTTTGATAATGTATTGGCACTGTCCTTGAAATTGATTGGTCCACACCCGAGACTTCTTTCCTTAGAGCCTCGTCTCACATTGGTGTTGGACCAGATGAAGCCACAAGGCGCACAACTCAAAGACAATGCACCATCAGAGTACGAGAGCTTGGGCTAAGCATTTACACCATTGGAACCTCCTTGGCCAGTAGCAAAATATAATTGTTTTTTTACCCTTTTATCTGGCAACAGAGACATGATTCTTTGCAAACAGTTTATCTTTGGGTCTACATGGGTCTCTATTGGTGTCTCTATGGGTGTCTCTGTCGATGTGAGCCTCAGGGATGTTGCTGTGGTTGTCGTAGCCGCCGCATTTGTAGCCACCCCAGGATTTGTCCTCGTCCAGCGTGAAGAACCACACCTCTTGCATGGCTGCCCAGTTCCAACTTCTGGCGACGACTCAGCTGAGGCCCAAAAGAGATCCAGAATCGCTGCACGCGTGACGACAACAATAACAACTTGAACTATAAACTATTTCTATTTTATGAGACCTCCTTTGCCAGTAACAAAATATAGCAATAGGTTTTTACCCTTTTAGCTGGCACAAAAACTGACACCTTTATACAAGGGATCATATTTGCAATAACCACAACACAAGCAGTTTTGTGCCAGCTAAAAGGGTAAAAACCTATTACTATATTTCTATTTTGTGTATATGCCAGGTAAGACCCCTGCTAGAGCTACGTCATCACCGTCATCATAATCATGTGGAAACTTGGCAATCCACTGAGACACACAGAGACCCATTCTCATAGAGACCCAAGGAGACCAATAGAGACTCATAGAGACCCTTTCCCATATAGAACCACCGAGACCTACAGAGATCTATACTCTTACATAACCATAGAGACCCATACTAAATCTAAACTATTTTTTATTTGACCAGGTAAGGCCCCACCAAAGTGGCTGATATCAACATCATCATCACGTGGAACTTTATAGTGGCAGCCAAGTACTCTATACCCAAGTAACATGGCCACTGTGAAGTCACCCACGTAACATGGCCACCGTGAAGTCACCCACGTAACATGGCCACCGTGAAGTCACCCACGTAACATGGCCGTGGTGACATCCCCCCATTCACCGTGGCCACTTCCCCTCACTGCTGTTCTCACCTTGAGGCGATTTGCTGCGGATAGAGCCAGTGACGGCTGCGGACAGCGCACTCCACGTGTTGCCAGAAACTCCCTCCCACGTGCTCCAGCTCTCCTTGTCTACAACAACCGCCATTCGTCACTAAGTGGCGGTGACGTCACCACGACGCTTGTGCCAGGCCATATGAACCTGGAGGCCACGTGAAGTGTTGAACGCCCGCTGGCAGGAGGTCATGGGGCAGACCCAAGTGCCACGGGGCGACTGACTGAGCTGACTGAGATGACTGGCTGATGCTCCACCTGTGCCCCCTACTGTGCCAACCTGCTGTGCTTTAGCCACCCAGCGCTCCGCTCGTTGTTGTGAGCATCGCTCCTCCGCCCTCTGTTGTTGGAGGGCGACTGCCTCCAACTGCCCAGTAGCGTCCTTCACGAGCCTCCACAGAGGCCGACCTTGACACCGCTGGTACCAGTCATCGGCATGTCCACTCGGCTCCACGTCCTGTACCACATCACTGCATCTCTTCTCTAGCCCGTGCCGTGCCCGTTTAGCCCCCTCGATCCGGCCGAACAAAAGCTGTTTAGGCATGCGGTGGCTGGGCATTGGCTACATGACCCAGGCAACGCAGCCTTGCCTGCCAGAGGAGCTCACCGATGAACCTTGTCCAGATCTTTCAAGGATTTGTGAGCTCACACAATCCAGCCTGGTTAAACCCAGGATGGATCGTAGGCAGGCTAGCCTAAATGGTTCTAACCGGCGAAGATGTTCCATTAGGGGGGTCCACGTTTCGCAAGCGTAGAGAAGGGAGGGAATGACCGTGGCCGAGAAGACCTGAAGCTTAGTGCGGAGCGACAGACCAGGTAGCTTCCACACAGCGTTACGCAACCAATGAAAAGATATTGCCGCTCGACTGATTCGGAGCGAGACCTCTGCTGTTAAACTGGAGCCGGTCATAAGCACACTGCCCAGGTATGGGAAACTCTCCACTCTCTCCACAACTGCCCCATCACCGATTGGGAGTTGTGGGAGTGGAGTGTCCGATGGTACAAAATACCCAGGCGGGTGCTTAGTTTTGGCGGGGCTGATGGTAAGACCCCATCTCTTAGTGGCACGCTCCAGTCTCAGCAGCAGCATCTCCAACTCCTCCTATGAATATGCAGCTATTACCAAATCATCGGCATGCATAACGTGGTTGAGCAATAGGGAGCCATCCCTTGACCGCACCCGGGCATCGATCAGCCTCCCATTATATCTGTACCAAATGGAGATTCCCCCGGTACAGCTATTGAAGGCTTCACGAACTACGTGGTCAAAATAGATGTTAAACAATGTGGGAGCCGGAGGACATCCCTGTCGCACCCCAAGGTGTACATGGAATGGCTCTGACTCCCGGCCACGTAGTTTTACCCGGGCCCGCTCACCATCATGAAGGTCCTTAATGATTGTGAGCAGAGGGTCAGGGACTCCAAAAGCACGAAGAACAACCCCGAGCCCAGGCCTACTGATGGTATCATAGGTTTTGACCAGTTCAATAAAGCAGAGATGTGTAGGTCTTGCTGGAATTCCCTACATCTCTGCTGTAGCAGACGGACAGAAAATATGGCATCTGTGCAGGACCGCCCTTTCCTGAAACCGCATTGGGGCTTCAAGCCTCTCCTCAGCGTGCCTGGCAAGGCGATGTTGAATAATCCTTGCCAGAACCTTTCCCGGCACACTGAGGAGTGAGATGCCCCTGTAGTTTTTACAGTCTGTGCGGTCCCCCTTCTTAAAGAAGGGGACCACCAGGGCATCCTTCCAATCCTGCGGAACCCGTCCAGTGATCCAGACTGTTATAATGTCATATAGGGCAGTCTGTGCACAAACGCCACCCTCCCTCAGCATTTCGCTTGGGAGATCATGTCTGCCCGGTGCCTTTCCTGGTCTCAGACTCCGGATCGCCTTCAGTACTTCTTTAACAGATGGCACCTCAGCCAGCTGCTCACAGGGGGTGACTTCTTACAATATTTGAGGCACCGCTGCCTCAGCAGGGTCATCCCCACTTTTTGCCACGATGTTTTCCAGGACTTCAGAAATGCTCAGCAAATCTGCAAACCTGCAAACCTGTTCCTGGGGGTCGGAGAGTGGATCACCGTTTTTTCCCCTAATGATGGTAATAGGTGTGGCGCTGCAGGTGACTTTTTTTGATGGAGTTAAATTGAGATTTGTGATCGCGGGCCACTGAAGCAGACTCCATCTCCTCAGCAATCCGCGACCACCACCCATCCTTGCAGCGCCTCACGGC